CCACATACAGCTTTTCAAACTGTATCTATATCAAACAATATCTATAACGTCACTGATGGGCAATAAAAGTTAGAAAAAAAACCCAGCTAAACTAATATTGGCTAGAAAAACAAAAAACCCACTACTAACTAGTAGCTTGAATCTGTTACAGAAAGATCAGTGAAAAGGCACAGCCTACAAGTAATAGACTGCAGTTATGTGTTTGTAAAAACCAACAAAAGCACTTATTAGTGAGAGCACCTGGCATGCAGACAATACAGTGACATAAAGCAACATGACTTGGCTTTGGTCACTGAGCGGTCAACAGTTTCCCTCTAAATATATTTTGACTATGCATTAGGAGGATTTTTCTTAAGGACCTTACTGTTACCGACCTTAAAAAGCTCGTTGCATGAACACATATCAAAACATCTCTCACAAATTTTTAAAGTACTCTGTAAATAAAGACTTTTACTGAAATAATGGCTTATCCCATAGTTTCAGACATATGCGGTTCACTGCTGTTTACACTCAAATATCATTTCTGTTGTTGAAGGACTGAACTCTCTAAATTATAATTTCACAATGAAATCAGCATGCATCTACACACTCAGTCTCTCCTTCTTCCTTTCTCTTTCTTTGTCAGAAATACTAATTTTCTGCTTCATGCAAACCAATAGCAAAAACTTCCCTACTAAATAGATGGTCAATATTACGGGCACTAAAGAAGGTATTTAAAAAAAATCATTAAGTTATGAGTCTAGTTAGAACATTTTTTTCCAAGGATGACCTAAGATCAGTAAATATAGACACAAAATCTTCTCATAAAATCTAACTAAAATCATTGCTATTTTTTAACCATGAATCTGCATCCCCTGACTGGTCTCCACTGGTCCCTTCTTCTCAAGGAAGACAGAGAAAATTGCAATTCTCTTCTATTTTTTTTTCTAATACTTGCTATGGTTGTTAAAGAGGTGCTATGGATGTTAGACATACAGAGTCATTTAATTTGTTGAAAAGATAAATGATTAAATAAACAAAGTCCTTACTTTCTTAGTATTAAGCTCCACTGCTTTTCCCTTGAAAATGCTGTTGAGATAAAACAAGTTTATATTACATAGCTCTAGTACGTAATTCATGTTTTTAACATTGTAAAAAAGTTTTAACTGCTGCTATTCTTTTACATCTATTTTACTCACATTTATCTCAAAATTAACAGATGTAAACAATAACGTCAGATATTATCCTGTTCTTTCCTTGACATCAACATTTAGAACCAATTGAATAATTATCTAAAGCAAAAACTCAGTTGTTGGCTTGAATGGTTTTGGTTGTTAATTCTTTATGAAGTACATTAAATCAGTGCACTGCCGCAGAATTTACCCACTATTTACCTAATCCTTTTATTTTCAAAGTAAATAAGCAAACTCAGAAAAAACGGAAAGTGTCTCTGCAAAGACCTGAGGAACATTATCTACCCTCTCTCATGTACATCCTTGATGCTAAATGAATGTTAAAATTTATCCTCTGTACGTTGCATCTGTAATAGAGGTCAACATCACTACACAGGCTTTACAGGTCTGACATTCTAGCAGAAAGCAGCGATGCATATACACATCAAGAACAAACTCTGACACATTGCTACATCAGGCTTCAAACTATGCCTGTTTCTAAGTCAATAGATACATTTTGCTTATAATTTCAGTTAGAGCAATGGCACAGCCTATCTTAATAAATAGCTTAAATATTAGTTTAATTTCCTTGTAAATATTACCTCTTCCAACAGCAATGGCAATGAGAGATGTGTGTCTTTGACAAAGAACAAATCTGATTTCTGAAAAGGGTATTTCACTTTGATATACAGCTTTTAACTTGGGTTTCTATTTTATTTTCAGCTTTCAGACATCTGTCCCTGATTTTAATCATTGTTTCTACCTTTCTGTACATAGAGGTCTGAATACTGGGAATTTCCTGGGAGATGAGGGAGGCATTGAAGAGAGACTTCACACATTTTCCTTGAAAATCAATGTGAGTGGGACATGTCAAGAAAGAGGCAAGCAAATTAATTTGAGATCACATTCTGCCACTTTTTCATTGAGTAAGACTTTACTCTGTGAGTAGTGTCAAATACTTTTCTGTATAAGACAGGGCAGAACAGCCAAGCTGTTACTGGGGATCAACATATACTTACAGAACAAATCAGCAGTGACCTAAAATTACATTTTAAGAGAGACTTTAAGTCTTATCTTGTCTTTGACAATCAAATCAGAATGCAATGTTTGAAAATCTTTCTTATATTTCTCTCTATATAATCTTGTATAGAAACACAAAGCCCCAGCTTGGTGGTTCTTGTTTCCAGTGAGTGGTACCTTACTTTCTGAGTAACTGAGTAGTTTTCTGACATGGGAATTAACCTGGTTTCAAGTGAACAATGTCAGCTTTCAGAATTATCAAAGCAAGAATTCAGCTTCTACATCAATCTTCAAGCTTTATTTAGATGAACAGTAATCATGACTCCCACTCCTCAGGCTGAAAGCTGGATGTATTTCCAAGGGAAATCCTCTTGTATAACCACAACTTCTTGGGTAAACTCTAAGATTTACTATATAAAATTCTGTGCACTCTACTGAAAAGTATAGTGTCCTATATACCGCTGCAGATATTCCTTGTGGCTTTAAAGTCTCCCAATCTATACATTATACTATATATCTCTTTCAAGATACTTATGCTTTTTCTTTTTAGTAATATTTAAAGTATGCTATTCAACTGTACATTCATTACTTACATCTGTAATGGAAATATTTATTTTTTTCATACATACAGAAAACTGATTAATTTGCATGTTAGTCCTGGAATTGCAGCGAACGGCAGCATGTCACGCCAAGGCATTTTTGTTGCTTAACACTTATTTACGTTTATTCTGAGACTAGGAATTTTGAAAGTCCTATTTTTTTAAAAAACTCATGATGCAACAGAACTTTGTAATATCAAACTGAAGTAATAGTTCAGGATTCCAAACGACATATGCAATTTATATTGACTTATAGAGAAAATATAGTGTCTAAGTCAGGGATAGAAAGTGTTCCAAAGATTTATTCTCTACATACAAAGTAATAATGAAATGTTCTTTTAAACGATATGAGGAAGAAGAATACAGCTTAGTATGTTGTCTTAATGTTTGCGTTTTGTTTTATTCCAGTTCTTAAATATAATAGAAAAGAAATTCCCATGAAAATAAGGGAAAAGAAAGTCACATCTTGAGAGGTGTTCTGGTACCCAAATGTAGTTGCACCCAAATGAGAGTTAAAGCTTCATCTCTGTGAAGCATGTTTGAAAACATAAACCTATTGCCCTACCAGTTCAGAATGAAACTAGTCTGGTAGAAAATCTTCTCTAAAATCAAAGAGATTACATTGGCATTGTCCTCATGGTGCAAAAATGAACTTAGTTATAAGTATCTAGTCAAGTATAGCTGTATTTAACAAGTCCATACAGTTTTGTCTTGTAAATATTCCATTATTCATATGCAATTTTAAGTCCAGATATTTAAGAGGCAAAAAATCAGACAAACCTGGACTTCTGAAGGAATATGGAACAGCTTTTTCATGGTATTTTCATTATGCAAGTAAAACAAAGGAGGAGACAATGGGGACATTTTGTGACCAAGCTCCTCTTCTAGTCTTGCCAAGTCTTCCTGTACTTGGAACATGACTACCTTCTGCAGAACTTAAAATATTAATTTGAAGACATTGCTATGGAAAAGCTCAACTACCTGGTCCCTCCTAAAACATTTAAGTTTTTTATTATTACCGTAAGGGCTACTGGCAGATATATGAACTCAAGCCCTCTAAACTGAGTTTCATATTGATGTGTCGCTGCCATTTCAGTGAGAGAAACCGATGTTCCCATAAGGATCCGTAAGGACTGCAGATGGTTACAGAAAGAGAAATTGTTTCCTTTTACACCCATGGTCGTGTCTAGGTGGGATGCACCGTGGAGACTTCGAGCCGCACCGTGCAGGTGAGGGGGCGGAGAGAGAGTTCCCTGGGCCACTTCTCCTTCAGCCGAGACCCCGTCTCAGTCGGGAAGAGAGATTCCTCGAGAGGGCTCCAGGCGGGCACTGCCCCCGCTCCCTTCCCCGCTCGGCGGCTCCCCCGAGCCGCCTCTCCGCGGGAGGCCGTGGGCAGACGCTGGGGGCCGGACCCTGCTCTGCCCCCCTGAGCCACAGGGCTCGCCCTCCTGCCCTTCGGCAGCCCCAGCTCCCACCGCCTGCCCCTCAGGGCCGGGAGCCGCCGCTGCGGGAACAGTCCCCCCGCGGTCCCTCCCTCCCCACACCCGCCGGGCGCGGCACCGCCCCGCGAGCAGGGGAGCGGGGGCTGGAGCGGGGCCGGAGCGGGGCCGGGGGCGATGCGGGACCCGGTGCGGGAGCCCTCCTCCGGCGGGGACACGCTGGCGGAGCGGAGCAGGGGAAGGACTGCTGTGCTCCGAGCGCTGTGCACCTGTGGGCGTGACCGCCGGCCCCCTCCTCCTCCTCCTGCTTCTGGTTACTTGAAGGGCCGGCGCCGCTGTAGCGGCAGAACCTGAGAGCGGAGCGGGCGGCGCACGGAGAGGAGAAAACCTGTCACCGCGACCCTCCACCTGAAGTGTCCCGGCCGCCTCTCGCCCCGTCGAGCCGCAGGACCGGCTGGGAGGGGAGCTCAGGCTGGACTGGGTGGGGGGGACGGGGCTGTCCGGCTCCGCCGCTGCTCTCGGCAGCTGGCGGGCACCGTCGCCCCCCGCTCCCCCGCGGGCGCTGCGCTGGGGCGCGGATCGCCCTCGCCCCGCGGAACTGCCCGGCCCAGCCCTGCCCCGCGGGCGGGCGGCGGTGGCCCCGGTCTGCCCTCGCCCCTCGGTGCCGGCGGCCCCCGCGGACATGCTGCCCTGCGCTGGGCGGCGGCGACGCCCTGAGCGGGGGTCGCCCTAGAGCGGCGGGCGGGCGGGGGGAGGCCCCGCGTCAGCACCGCCAGGGCCCGCACCCACCGGCGGGGGCTGCCCCGGGGAGCGGAGAGGCGGGGGAGAGGACAACAAGCGGAACAACTTCTGCAAATTAAAAAAGGAAAGGAGAGGGGAAAAAAAAGTAAAAAGAGGGTCGTTCGTGGGACATCTTCGAAGCTCAGCAGCACGCGTGGCGTCCAAGCCGCAGTGAAACCCTCCACGCCAGTGAATCCCACCACAGTGACAAGAAGAAAGCTGGCAGTGGCCACTGCGCCCAAGTATCGCAGGTGTTAGAGTCGTCTTGGCTTTCTGGCTGGAAGATGATTCCTGCAACAGAACCATGTTGCTGATGATAAACCGCAGGGTCGTTGGAAGATGCCTTCCTTGAGGATTACACCTGGAGAAAGCCCATCAGTCAAGGGGAGAGCTGGCTGGTGAAACTGTCTGACTTTCCCCCCCACCGGGGAAGTGGCTTCAATGGCTCCATCTCCCAGGAGAAGCAGTAGGAAAGATGCCAACACCTTGCCAAGCATGTCTTCAACTTTCTGGGCTATCATGATCCTGGCCAGTCTCCTAATCGCTTACTGCAGTAAGTACATATTTGTTGTGGTGCGTTTGCTGGGCATAGGTCTACGCCCTTCCCACCTGAGGTAATGCTTCTGGCAAAGGCCAAGCTGTGAAGCTGGCAGGCATAGGTACTTTGTCTTAGACTTGCCCCTCAACACGTCTCTCCTCAGTTCCTTATGGTAAAGCAGTTAGACCAATACTTAAGTATTGCTGCTTCTCAGGAGAATGAGATGTCCTTAGGTTGTAGATGTGGCATTTCCAGTCCAAACAGTAACATCTCTTGGATTTTAGAAACAAACTTTGTAGCGATAGTAACTGTGATCCAGTGTTCACTGTTTATTATCAGATGTTAGCAGATTTCTCCCTGACTGCTCTCTCCGTGTACACACTCTCCTAATTCCATCCATCATCCATGAAAAGGAGCTTTTTTGTTTATATTCATCCTTTTAGGAAGCAAAAACTTAATCAAGTGAGAGGTGTCAACATCCCTGGGATCATATGTGATTCTGTGACTGAAATTCCGTTGGAACAAACCCTGCCACTTCCTTGGCATGTCCTCAGCAGTTTAGTTCGTTTTGTCAGTTTCAGAGCTTCATCTCAGGCTATCAGAGTTTTGTATATTTTTTTTCAGGCTTGATAGATTGTCGATTAATAGCATTGAGTTGTGGATAAGGTATCTGTAAGAATCAAGTACGTAATACTTTTAAAGGTCTATTTTTTCCAGGTTTTTTTTCTTTGTTTGTTTTGCTCTTGGCAAGAATCATTTTCAAGCAGTTAAATAATGTAAATAGAGTTAATGCCCATACTTCTGTTGAATGCAAGTTAGTCCATAGTACCAAAGTGGGAAAGCTTCAAAGGGAATAGACAAAACTGTTTCTATGCAATAATAAAAAAATATGTAATTTATCAGGAGAGACCTGCACAGCTTTGCCAAAATGAATCTACAGTGTATTTTCCCAACCTAAGATGAAGAGGTTTGTAATTTACCTATGGTGTGTATTCATTTCATTAGCTGTGGCATAAAAGATTTTGTAGACTTGTCTTGTTGAGCTGTAATAGGTGTAGGTTATGATGAATAGGAAATAGATGCTGTTTTCCAAGAGGATACTGCTGCATTTCTTAACCCTATATTCCATTCCCTTCAACTATATTATATTCACATTTCTCTGTGTGTTTTGTTTTGGTTCTTTTTTCTGAAACAAAATTTTAATTGGTTAAGAGAACCTGTAATTCACTTTTATTTGCATATTACAAGGACTCTTCATACTGGTGACAGTGTAAATGGCTTATTCCAAAAAGAATAACATATTTTGTAATTATTTTTTAATTTAGCACATTTTGCATTACACTTCTCATTAAAAAAATCACATTAAAGTGGCCACACTTTAAAATAATAATATAATTTTGTTCATAATGCCATATTCAATCTCTTAATATAGAGGATATACTAAACAACATAGTGAGATTTAAAAGAATTTATGTGTATGCTGGGAGTGCATATTACAGGATGAGTAGTTCAAGTGTAAAGGGAATTAATCTGGATGTTAGTAATAAGAAATATTTTATTAAGTGTGTGCTAGAAATGCCTGGAGAGTCCCAGGCTTTTTATGAGATGATGTGAGTTCTTCTCTGCATATATTTTCTATTAGCATGGCCTCAGAAAGAGTTAACCATAAACTCTGACATTTAAAAACATTTTATGTTCAGCAGTGAGAGGTTTGACAACGTTTTGTTCTAAGGAATGAAGTTGTCCCTTTGAATTATTACATATTGTGCATTGTTTATTTTTTGCATTGTTTACTGATGCTGTACAATACAAATGTTGGCTGATAATCTGAAGGCATTTTCTGGTGTGCTTAAGGGACCAGTTTCTGATTAGTTCTCTCAGCCAGCGTAGATGGTGTTCCTCAAACATGTAGTACGCTCTTCATTTCTTATAGCACTGAAAAGCATCATGCAACTTAAATATGCAGTGTCAAAACACTCTACCATTTATGTAATGCTTCACTGATTTGACAACTGCAATTCCAAATGTTAATGAAGCACCATGAACGTTTTTTCTAGCAGTAATATTTGAAACATTGCAAAATATGTTTTTTGCTCTGTGGAAAGAGGGAAGGTGTTTAAAATCAAGATTAAAAAAAATGAAGCAGTTTCTAGCTAAAGTAGCACTTAAGATTTTATGAATTCTTTTAAAAATCAGCTAAAGTTTAACCAGACTTTTTTCATCTGATTCCTTTTTTGAAGAAAAGGATAACTGGGTGTGGAGGGAGACATGATGATTTTAAAAATGTTTTAAAAATAACAGGCTTGCCATATTTCTTACAAAGTGAAAGGAAAGAAGTAAAAGGAAGGAACTTGACTATGTAAGGTGTTCTATATTTTTCCACACACAGTATATTCAGGTATATGGAAGTATACCTATTTAAATTTCTGATATCAAGCAGCATTCATTCTGTAAAAAACAATAAAGGCGAATATATTATCAAACTAATTACACTAACCTCATATTGGATTCTCTCACTGTATCATTTTACTACAATCGATCTCTGCAGCTTCAAAAACAAAATTAGAACTTTTCCATTTTTCCATTTTTTTATAGCACTGTAAATAAAATTTTTGATCTACCTTGCTTATATCCATTTCTAAGCTCTTAGAATGACAAATCTTATTCCTGAATCAGTTATATGAACATTGCTTCTCCTTCTCCTAATTACTTTGTCAATCTTTGTTTCTGGAAATTGTTGTACAATAGTCATCCCTATTACTGAGAGCAACCAGTAAACATGATACTCTGAGTTCCTCTTGCAGATAAGCGTATTTATAAAGCATGTTCTGGGTGTACATGTACAGCCCATTAGGCTGTCGTTTATACTTTAATGTCTGAAGCCCAATTATATTCCCATTGATATGGTAAAATGATAAACTGATAATTTTTTCTTTCTTAAATGTTTAGATTATACTTAGGGATAGTGGCTCCATCCTATGGTCGAAGAGAAACCTGCATCAAATCAATTAAGTTAGTTGCTATAGTGATAAATATAATGCAATATTCTTCAACTGAAGAAAAATGGTCTAATTTGGTAGGCTCTCAACAGGAGAAGACAAAAATGAAGTAGTAGAAATAGGCTGTTTATGGTCCTTGGTGTCATCAACAAGGAGTTAGCTTACTTAGCAGAAGCATCAGTAAAAGAAAAAACACCCTCAGAAGGTTGTCCTGGTAGGGGGTGGCCACCTTCAATGACAATTTAGAATTAAAGGAGTTGTGACATTTTTGGATCCCAGACATGCATCCCACATACTTGTTTAATGAACAGTAGTAGACCAGAGAGAAGTACCTACAGTGAATGCCTCATATTGTAAAGGTAAAATGAATTATTTTTTTCTTCTTTGTAACTGGAATATGCATTTTACCATGTTAGAAAGTTTGGTAAGAGTAAGGAAATTTTCTGTGGTATCACAGCTGCATGCTACATCAGGAATCTAAATAACATAGTTTTGATTCAGAAGTACTTTTTAGTGCATTTATTCGCTTGACTCTGCTGTAAATACTGAGGAGCTTTTTATATGTAAATGATAACTTTTTAAACAACATATGATTCAGCTTTTAGCAAAGTTGTGGCTGTTATGAGCTTTTGGTTTTCCTTATTTTATACTGTTTTGTAAGCATAAGGAATAGATCATTAGAGCCCTATGCTGTTCTGTTAAGGTAATAATTCTAAGGCTGAGCAAATGGGTTTTTTTGAAAGGAACCAGCAAAACTGAATAGTACTTAGAAAATTGACCTTCTTGTTTTAAATACTGTGTATGGAAGAGAGCAGTATGAAGCCCAGAATTTATGCTGACTAAATGATGATAGTAGTAGGAAAAAAGAATATAAACCTCCAAAATGCAAAATATTTCCCGTAACTCTACAGTTCTGCATTGTAAGTACAAGTTCTTTCACAGTAAGAAGGAATGGAAAGAGGCAATCTCCTAATTCATTATTTCTTTTGCTGTCAGAGTACAAAATAAGTACATTGTAATGATAACATACTGGTAGGTTATATTAAATGGCTGATTCTGCAGCCTGCCATTTCAATCTGTGGAATTTGTTTAGCAGAAAAACCCCTTAGCATAAATAAAAAAAGGTGTCTCAAAGATTTTACGTGGAACCATGCAAAATGCAAATAGTCCTGCTTTGGGCTGAGGTAGAGTTAGTTGTCTTCACAGTGGCAAGTATGGGGCTATGTTCTGTATTTGTGCTGCACACACACACACATATATATCTAATAATGAGATATTTTTGTTTCTACTGACCAGTGCTTATGCAGGGTCAAGGCCTTTTCTGCTTTTTGTACTGCCATGCTGATGAGACTGGGGCTGTATGGGAGGACACAGGTGGGACAGGTGACTCCAGCTGACCAAAGAGATATTCATATGACATCAGGCTCAATATATAAACTGGAGGAAGAAGGAGGAAGAGGGGGGAGGTTTGGAGTGATGGCATTTGTCTTCCTGAATAACTGTTACGTGTGATGGACTCCTGCTTCCCTGGGGATGGCTGAACACCTGCCTGCCCATGGGAATGGTGAATTAATTCCTTGCTTTGCTTTGCTTGCATGCACGGCTTTTGCTTTCCCTATTAAATTGTCTTTATCTCAACCAATGAGTTTTCTCACTTTACCCTTCTGATTCTCTCCCCGATCTCGCTGGTGGGGGAGTGAGAGAGTGGCTGTGTAGTGCTTGGCTGCTGGCTGGGGTTAAACCACAAGTTTTCATGAAAAATATTATATTGACTACACCTTAAATTGACATCCTGTTACAGATTAGGTAGACACTGCTAATTGCAGAAACACCTTTTTGTTGTCCCGTTCTGGAATCGCTTTCTGTCTAGAAGACACAGGCTATTATGGTCTCTAGGTCTTACTGTTCCTTTATGCTACTTGAGACTGCCAGCAGGGATGGTAACTAACTGTGACTGTCACCTGGACACCTCTCCAACAGGAGCTACCATATCATCATGCGTAGGCTGCTGAGCAG